TCTATATATTGAGCATGTAGTTTCGTCACAAACACAGCGTTTACTTTATATATTGAGCATGTAGTTTCGTCACAAACACAACGTTTACTTACTCTATATATTGAACATGTAGTTTCGTCACAAACACAGCGTTTACTTACTCTATATATTGAACATGTAGTTTCGTCACAAACACAGCGTTTACTTACTTTATATATTGAACATGTAGTTTCGTCACAAACACAGCGTTTACTTACTTTATATATTGAACATGTAGTTTCGTCACAAACACAGCGTTTACTTACTCTATATATTAAGCATGTAGTTGCGTCACAAACACAGCGTTTACTTACTCTATATATTGAGCATGTAGTTTCGTCACAAACACGGCGTTTACTTACTCTATATATTGAGCATGTAGTTTCGTCACAAACACAGCGTTTACTTTATATATTGAGCATGTAGTTTCGTCACAAACACAACGTTTACTTACTCTATATATTGAACATGTAGTTTCGTCACAAACACAACGTTTACTTACTCTATATATTGAACATGTAGTTTCGTCACAAACACAGCGTTTACTTACTCTATATATTGAACATGTAGTTTCGTCACAAACACAGCGTTTACTTACTTTATATATTGAACATGTAGTTTCGTCACAAACACAGCGTTTACTTACTTTATATATTGAACATGTAGTTTCGTCACAAACACAGCGTTTACTTACTCTATATATTAAGCATGTAGTTTCGTCACAAACACAGCGTTTATTTACTCTATATATTGAGCATGTAGTTTCGTCACAAACACGGCGTTTACTTACTCTATATATTGAGCATGTAGTTTCGTCACAAACACAGCGTTTACTTTATATATTGAGCATGTAGTTTCGTCACAAACACAACGTTTACTTACTCTATATATTGAACATGTAGTTTCGTCACAAACACAGCGTTTACTTACTCTATATATTGAACATGTAGTTTCGTCACAAACACAGCGTTTACTTACTTTATATATTGAACATGTAGTTTCGTCACAAACACAGCGTTTACTTACTTTATATATTGAACATGTAGTTTCGTCACAAACACAGCGTTTACTTACTCTATATATTAAGCATGTAGTTGCGTCACAAACACAGCGTTTACTTACTCTATATATTGAGCATGTAGTTGCGTCACAAACACAGCGTTTACTTACTCTATATATTGAACATGTAGTTTCGTCCCAAACACAGCGTTTACTTACTTTATATATTGAGGATGTAGTTTCATAACAAACACAGCGTTTACTTTATATATTGAACATGTAGTTTCGTCACAAACACAACGTTTACTTTATATATTGAACATGTAGTTTCGTCACAAACACAGCGTTTACTTTATATATTGAACATGTAGTTTCGTCACAAACACAGCGTTTACTTTATATATTGAACATGTAGTTTCGTCACAAACACAGCGTTTACTTTATATATTGAACATGTAGTTTCGTCACAAACACAGCGTTTACTTTATATATTGAACATGTAGTTTCGTCACAAACACAGCGTTTACTTTATATATTGAACATGTAGTTTCGTCACAAACACAGCGTTTACTTTATATATTGAACATGTAGTTTCGTCACAAACACAGCGTTTATTTACTCTATATATTGAACATGTAGTTTCGTCACAAACACAGCGTTTACTTTATATATGGAACATGTAGTTTCGTCACAAACACAGCGTTTACTTACTCTATATATTGAGCATGTAGTTTCGTCCCAAACACAGCGTTTACTTACTTTATATATTGAGCATGTAGTTTCATCACAAACACAGCGTTTACTTACTTTATATATTGAGCATGTAGTTTCGTCACAAACACAGCGTTTACTTTATATATTGAACATGTAGTTTCGTCACAAACACAGCGTTTACTTTATATATTGAACATGTAGTTTCGTCACAAACACAGCGTTTACTTTATATATTGAACATGTAGTTTCGTCACAAACACAGCGTTTACTTTATATATGGAACATGTAGTTTCGTCACAAACACAGCGTTTACTTACTCTATATATTGAGCATGTAGTTTCGTCCCAAACACAGCGTTTACTTACTTTATATATTGAGCATGTAGTTTCGTCACAAACACAGCGTTTACTTACTTTATATATTGAGCATGTAGTTTCGTCACAAACACAGCGTTTACTTTATATATTGAACATGTAGTTTCGTCACAAACACAGCGTTTACTTACTCTATATATTGAACATGTAGTTTCGTCACAAACACAGCGTTTACTTTACATATTAAACATGTAGTTTCGTCACAAACACTGCGTTTATGCCTGCTTATATTAGTGCTGTTTCATTTCAGGAAGCATCCCCTGGTACCTGAAGCCCCTTTGGTTGCTGACAAGTGTGGTGTTTAACACGGCCATTATTGTAACTGTTTTGTACTGGAGCCTGGTGTTTACAGGAGGTTCGCATACAGTTTAATGGCAGACAGATTTACACCCTTTTATTGATATTATGATTTGCACAAAGTTTTATGGCAGACAGATTTACACAGTTTATTGATAGTATGATTTGCACAAAGTTTTATGGCAGACAGATTTACACAGTTTATTGATAGTATGATTTGCACAAAGTTTTATGGCAGACAGTTTTACACAGTTTAATGATAGTATAATTTGCACAAAGTTTAATGGCAGACGGATTTACACAGTTTAATGATAGAATGATTTGCACAAAGTTTAATGGCAGACAGATTTACACAGTTTATTGATAGTATGATTTGCACAAAGTTTAATGGCAGGCAGATTTACACAGTTTATTGATAGTATGATTTGCACAAAGTTTAATGGCAGACGGATTTACACAGTTTAATGATAGAATGATTTGCACAAAGTTTAATGGCAGGCGGATTTAAACAGTTTAATGATAGAATGATTTGCACAAAGTTTAATGGCAGATGGATTTACGCAGTTTAATGATAGAATGATTTGTACAAAGTTTAATGGCAGACGGATTTACACAGTTTAATGATAGAATGATTTGCACAAAGTTTAATGGCAGACGGATTTACACAGTTTAATGATAGAATGATTTGCACAAAGTTTAATGGCAGACAGATTTACACAGTTCAATGATAGAATGATTTTCACAAAGTTTAATAATATAAATTGAAAAATTCGCCTAATATTTAATGTTGGAAAGATTTGCCCAAAGTTGGATAGTAGAAATAGTTGTACGAAGTTTAGTGTTAGAAATATTTGCATGGTTTATTAGTGGAACGATTTGCACACAATTTAGTGGTATAACGATTTGCATAAAGTTTATAAACATTAAGATTTACACAAAGATCGCAGACTGAAAGATTTTCACACTGTTTGAAGGTTGGACAGTTTACACAAATTTTTGTGGTGGAAAGATTTGCACAAAGATTAGCGATGGAAGACTGTGCACACATTTCAAAAAGAGAAGGGTAGGTAGATAGGCATGCAAGCGGGTAGATAAGTGATTAAATCAGGTTCTGCCCTATGGCAATCAATACTTGACTGTGAACATACAGAGCAGGAAGAGGTTTCACGCATATGCTTGGCTTCTAGGACGAATAACATTGGGCAAAGAGAAGAGTGTGTCAGAGTACCAGCGAAAACGTCTGACCTGTGTAGGGTTATGATCACATTGGGCCGGGTGTGCAGAGAATGGCCGGCGTGTGCTACGGAGATTGAAGTCCAACAGTTGATTCACGACAATTCACGCCCAGGTGATCTGGTTATCTATACAGATGGTTCGGTGCCGAGAGGAAAGAGAAGTGCCTGGAGGTTAGTAGCGAAAGCCAATGGAAAATCTTTAGTGTAAGACAACCTAGCATTCGATACCATGACATCTAGCATGAGAATGGAGATGAAGGCGGTAACTACTAATCTCCGGTTGCTAGAGAACAAGATGCGTACACATGTCGTAATTGTAACAGATGATGAGAAAGATGAGAGGGATACTTCGAGCAGAGTGGCAAGCTTCACTGGGATGGTCACGGGTAATGAGCATACTTTGGATCTTTTCTCCAGGCTATGCCAGCGTTGTCGGTAATTAACAGGCAGACCGATTGGCTGGATCTGCACCACTGGGTGGTTAGACGATACATAACAAGGCAGGTGTGGTCAAGGCCCTTTGGGAACAAGCAACGGAATCAGTAGAGAAAGAAATTATTATGGCCTGGAGAGAATGAGACACCTGGGTGTAACCAAAGGGTCTGGCCAGCTGACTACACTCAAGAAAAAGGCAAGACGGACATCTAACTAGATTGTGACCGGTACTATCAGTATTAGAACTCTGCGCTGGCTGCTGAAAATGAGGACGGAGCAGGCATAGGAATGCCCCGAGTGCTGTGAGCCAATTCTTGACTCAACTTAACTCATTCTAAGACGAATGTTGCGAACAATTTGGACGGGTTCGAAACCTCACCGAAGCGATAAGTAGGCGGTTTTTTTCCCCTTCAATTTCATAGTTGTTAATTTTACATATATGATGTTCAAATCTGGCACTGGTAATACAGTGTTGGTGTGTATATACTGTCTATAACCTGCTTTTTTGCGGTAATACTTATGTATACTTACAACAACAACAAAATATATTAAATAGCCTTGTTTTCCATATAAACCGCCTGATAATAAAAGCAAACTAAGGTTTGACTGTGTTAAGGAAAATAGCTGCGACAAACTGTTAGCAGGTCGCATTATTTTCTTATACTAGGGTCTAGAACTTTCTGTAACTGAGTATGCTATGGCGATTCTTATGACCAAGCCAATGGAAAATCTTTAGTGCAAGACAGCCTAGCTTACGACACCACAACATCCAGTATGAGAATAGAGGTGGAGGCGGTAACTGTAGCTCTCCGGTGGCTAGAGAACAAGATGCACACACATGTCGTAATTGTAACAGACTCGGAGAGAGAGGGATGCTTTAAGCAGAGTGGCAAGCCTTACTGGAAAGTCACGGGTAGTGAGCATACTGTGGTGTAATGGGTAAGGAACAGTCATACAGATTGGCTGGATCTGCATCACGGGGTGGCGAATTGATACATGACAAGGCAAATGTGGTCAAGGTCCTTTGGGAACAAGCAACGGAATCAGTAGAGAAAGAAGATTATTATGGCCTGGAGAGAATGAAGCTCCTGGGTGTAACCAGAGGGTCTGGCCGGCTCACTACACTCAGAGGAAAGGAAAGACGGACAGATTGTGACCGGTACCATCAGTTTTGGAACTCTGCGCTGGCTGCTGAAGATGAAGACAGAGCAGGCATAAGAATGCTCCGAGTGATGAGATGTTAATTCTTGACTCAACTCAACTCAACAGATTGAGAGACAAGATAGGATACAGAATGAGACAGTGCGCATCATAACTGGATGTACAACGAATACGCATGCAGTGCTGTGTGGAACCTCCTTGAACTTCAAGCCAACGAAGAATCTGTCGCGCAAGTGCGGATCCGTGCATCAGCTCCGATTCACACCATCCTTTGCACAGTGAAATTAGCAGAAAAAAATTGTAGCAGGTAAAAGAGAGAACAATCTTGGATGGGTCAGGCTGAGAACATTATTCAACAGTTTTGTTAACTGAGGACGTAGAACATGGTGGGGAGTAGGTACGAGTACAAGCAGAGTGATGTACGTTTGGGTAGGGTGCGCATCATACTGGAGAGATGAGACTGCAGACAGCAAAACCCGTTGGTGTTTGAGGCGGAAGTTCAAACCCTAATTCTTGAGAACTATGCCAACGTTATTTACACCGAGGGGTCAGTAGTTCGGCAAGTACAAAGTCCATGGTCTTTTACAGTTCTGATTCGAGGGAGATCAGTCAAAGAGGACAGCAGTGCTTTTGCCCCGACTTCAAGTAGTCTGACCATGGAGGTGATGCCACGGCATTTTTTACCATTGCGTGCTTTTTAAGTGATTTCATGAACATGCTTATGAAGATCGAGTCAAGATGGGTTCGAAGACAGTGGTGAGGGTCAGTGAGGAAATCGCATCTGGCAGGAATCAGTTTTATTTTTGTACCAGAACACTCTGGAGCTGGAGGGAATAAACGAGCGGATTGGCCTGCTGGAAGGGCCACAGTAGGTACAAAAATGCTATGGACCGGGCCGAAGTTCTCAATGCTCTCAAGGAATTAGGACTAGTAGTGATTCGGGAAATGATGCTGAGTCGACAACCTTCAAAAGACTACAAGAAATTCAGATGAAAAGAGACAGCCAGAGATGAACACTATACAGTAGCCAAAGAAGAATAGTAAACCAACACAGGGCTAGTGTTATGTCGCTACACGTTGAAGGATATACAGAAGGACTTATCCGATGTGCAGTAAGAATAGTCTGTCGATTAACTAACTAACTGTAGCCAGGTGGCCACAGCTGTTTATAGTTTAGATTTGACTGCATCGCGAACTAAAATCTGACAAGTTCGGGGATTAGAAGTTTATAAAAGGGCTTGTTTAACCAGAGAGGGTTTCTTTAGCTTTTCGCCCTCCGAAATCGCCAGCCATCCATCGCCGTTGCGCAGTCGTTCATGACTTAACGCAACGCGGGTTTCAGGCCGGCGAGTAAAGAGGGATGCGTTAGCTACTTTTGGGATTTTTCAATAAATAGTTTGGGTGTTAGATCTAAATTTGCTTCAGTAATTAAACTATGGTAGACTTATATAGCATTCGCTCGAAGCTTTTTAATTTCAGGTCTCTAGAGGCGAACCTTCACGTGTGTTTGTTGAAGTGTCAAGCACAGGGCCTGTGTGAATACGATGTTGATTGTTAATGTAATGTTATCTGTGAAGTACTTAGTTTTTGTGTTGAGGAAAAAAAAATGTTGAATGTGATGGTTATATTCATTTGCTTGATTCAAGATAGAACTTGTAGTGGTCTGTCCAGGCGTTGCCTATGTAACTGTGGTATTGGGTTGTCGTTTTGGTGTGTAGCTCATTATTCACATATCCTCTTTTTGTGTTATGAACTTATTTCATGGCCCCTGCACGGAAGAACTCTTGTCTTTACTTTTCCTGTTTTTGCTGTTCAGCGAGGAACTACTTATTGTCCTAACAACATTTTGTTTCTCCATCTCTCTACTACTTGGCTTTTTTTACCCTCTTCCCGCTAGCACATACTTACTTTACTTTTACTTTTTCCTTCCACGTATGCCGCTAAGCGTTGTGGGGAGATGCAAGTTCCTGTCATAAGCAAGGCGGGCAGCATCTGATGTTCTGAGGCCATGCTTTTGGCAGGTTTCGGAGACCCCGTCAATCCACGGTTTCCTTGGTCTTCCTCTTGCCTTATATCCTGAGCTTCTTTGGTTGAAAATTTGTGATGTTATTTGATCATTTTTCATCCTGGTTAGATGTCCAAACCATTTAATTCTTTGATGTTCTATGTAGTCTAAACATGGCGTAGTTTTGACAGTGTTTCTAATGTCTATATTCTTTATCCTGTCTAGTCTGGTCTTGTTCGCTGCTTTTCTTAGACATTTCATTTCACAGGCTTCTATTTTTCTTTCATGGGTCTTGTTGATTGTCCATGTTTGGCACTGGTAGCAGAGTGTTGGAATGAAGATGGTGTTTATCAATTGTCTTTTGGTCTTCATGGTTATATCTGGATGTTTAAGCAGAGGTGATAGTTGGTATGTGACAGCATTTGCTTTCTGTATGCTAGCACATAACTAACTTAATTTACATGCTGTTTTAATTTATTTTTTAACTGCCAGAACTGGACAACATCGTAACTGTCATGGTTCATGGAGTCAACACACTGTATGTGCTGACAGACATCTTTGTCATTGCCACACCAGTTCGCCTGCTGCACTTTATCTACACTATCATATTTGGCGGAATATACATCATATTCACTGTCATCTATCATTTAGCCAAAGGTAGGTTCACAAGGTTCATTGTTAATTTCTTTAAATACCATTAACCTACAATGATTACACTATATGCAACATTTCTAAACATTTTTCTAAACATTTGTGTTATCTTCTTCTTCTTCTTCTTCTTCTTCTTCTTCTTCTTCTTCTTCTTCTTCTTCTTCTTACAGTTCACGGGCTGTAAACTCTGGCGGAAAGTTCTTTTTGTTATCAATTTCTTGGCTTTGGTCTTGATTAGAACCTGAGTGTACACATCCATTTCACAGATGTGCCTTATTTGAATGCAGACTGTTGGTTTCTCACCTGTCGCGCAGATGCATTTCGACTTTCAAGAAAACAACCTTTATAGGTCGCCTTTTACGATAGACGTATTAGGGTGCGGGGGTCTGTTCTAACATTTTGACAAAATGAGGCCCCAAAACTTAAATGGGGATTCGCTATCTTGAATCACGCTAATCCAGTTGTTACTTTAATTCATTCTGTACTTTGGCTTTGTTATTTCCCTCTTCTCCCACACCTCTTTCTATATTCGCTCTGGTACACCATAGGATCTTCAGGTAAATTCAGGGGTGCCCGAACGCCCCCTTACCATCTTTAGGGAGTCTCAGTCTCCATCCTTCTCTAAAATAAATGAATCAAAGAGCTACGCTTCCTTTCCTACTGAACTGTAGTTCTCTTTTAAATATTTTTTTATGATCGCACATTATGGGGGATATTTTCCTATGTGGTGTGTGAAAGCTGTTTACTAGGACAAGGACTAGACAACCATGTCAGTGTTAAGATGTCAATAAACAGATGTATCGTACTTAAGTCGGTGTCGGCTTGTCTCAGTTAAGTCAACGTAGAATGTGTGCTAAGAGCAACGAGAAAGCGCTCATAGAAGCAGTGTATTGCACTGTGCAAAATTCTTACATTATGTAACATTGAACAAATAATAAAAGCAATAACGATGATATGAATTTAATTATTATTACTCATTTAAGCACGGTTTAAGATGCTTTTGCCTCCACTTAGAGGGTTTCCGAGTAGAGTGCGATCCTCTTTCCTCTCATGTATGTGGGTGTATGAATGTTAGCGTATGTGGCTGTCTGTAGATGTGACTGTATGTGTGTGTATGCATGCATGCATATGTAGGTGTGTATGTATGGAATGTTGTGTACATGTATGTCTATGTATATATATGTGTGTGTGTTTCATGTCTGTGTATGTGTGTAGGTGCTGGTGTATGTATGTATTACTTTTGTCTGTATATGGGTGTTTATGTATGAGAATGTAAGAGTATGTGTACGTGTGTGTGTTAGAGTGTATAAGATTGTGTATTTATGATGGGTGTTTGCATTATTCTATAATGTATAAATCTTTATTATATACATAGCATGCATTATTGATAATAGGCATCGGTACTCTGAAAAATGAGTGCTTAGAAGGGCTGAATGTCAGACAGGCCTACGTGCCCAATTTTAACCCTTTGTAAAAAAAAGTTTGTTCGTTCGTTCTCCAACGTTGTCTTTGCACTTGTGCCTAGGTGTAGTATAAAGAGCGATAGAGTGCCGGTTAAAAATGGGTTTAAATATCTTCGTCCCAATGTGCGATGAATGTTGCGTTATTTTGAAGCCCCACTCGGGGGGTCTAAATATAACCTAATGGTTAAACGGGGTTTTAGGACCTCTCCAGGGGTGATCCTCATCCGAATGGTGACACTATGTGTCACCGGGTGATTATTGCTTAGTTTGTTGTCCTGGTGTGGTTAAAAGTCAGTCAGTTTAATAATAAATATAAACTTTTTTTAAATATTTGATTCATTAAAAAGATTTTGCCCTTCAGGAATTAACTTATTTTATTGTCTTTCAGGTACAGGGTTATCATCAGAACCATACATCTACACAGCTTTAGACTGGTCAAAGCCTGGTCCAGCTGTTGGCGTTAGCCTCGGATCTTTGTTGGTGGCGCTGCCCTTTATTCACTTGCTCCAGTTTGGGCTCTACACGCTGAGAATCTACATCCTGGAAAAGTGCAGATGCTGTACAAGTTGTGCAGAGGATGATGTTAGATGTAGATGCTGCACGAGGAAAGTAGATTCAGGGAACGAAGAAATGGTTGAAGCTGTTTAGAAGACGGGCTAATAAACAAATCAATGGAGATGCTAGTCTGATTTAATACTGATTACTTCCCTTTGACTTAATTTTGAATGTTTCATTATAAATCGACAGCATAGCAGTCGGGACACTCCCAGAAGCTCCAGGTCCCCATCTTCAGCAGCAAACCAAGAGTTCTAATTCCGTAGCTGTAACTGTCTAATTGTATAAGCGTCTAGTCTTTCCCTTGAGTGTTGGTAACTCACTGAGGCGCCATTCTCCTCAGACCGTGAAGATCTATTTGTGCCTTCGCTCTGTTCACCCGCTCCAAAACGGCTCTCACAGCATCCAGTTTACCATACATCAATTCACCACCAAGTGGCGCAGAACCGGCCAGCGATGATTGTGATGGGGATGATGATGCGTCGGCAAAATAGTGAAGTGTTCTAACTTTCTTGACTCATAGTGACACAGGGAGATGGACTGAAAGCCGTTTGCAAGAATGTAGGAAAACAAAACAGATGATTTGTGACGATAACGATGATAATGACGATGATGATTTTTTCAAAGAGGGAATGGTGGTGATGGGGATGATTGTGATGGTGATGGTGATGACAATGGTGATGATGATGAAGTTAAGGATAATGGTGGTGGTGATGCCAGATTCAGATTACCAAAAACAGTCACTTTCATTATACTTAGGTATACGTGGAGATTCACACGACACAGAATGACTTCCAAACTTCCAAACTTAGCGTATGTGGGTGTCTGTATATGTGACCGTATGTGTGTGTATGCATTCATGTGTAGGTGTGTGTGTGCGTGTATGTCTATGTATGTATGTGTGTGTATTTTATGTCTGTGTGTGCCTTGCAAATATTTCTCTTCATCTCCCATACTTCATTATTATCGCTGCCTTTCTAACAAAGTTCTCTCATGTATCACACACAGTTCATGTCAGACTTACGGTCAACCGTCAACCTCGCCTCATCTACACAGTCATGACTTGATTGCTACAGGAGTTTCCTGTCGTTAGCTAATATAAGATCTGCCTCCTACCAAGTATTTAAGTAAACTATGCGGAAAAAAATCGCCTAGTGCCGCCAACCCCCCTCCCCCCCTCTCTCTCTCTCTCTGGAAGTATAATCATCATGTTCTATGCCAAAAATCATAGGAGGTCATACTCGCCACCCAACACGATCAGCAAAATCTTGGATCGAGTGGAGCTTCTGTACCTCCCTATGCACATGACCAAATACTCAAAGTGTTTACCTCTTTGCTTTACCCTTGTCCTCGTTCTATCAAAATTGCTTGTTGTCACCAAGTTCTTCAGTCCTTGCACTGAAATATGTCTTCTGTGATCAAACAAACAAAATGATATAATGGCAATTTTGTTTTGTGTCGTCTTCTTTTCCTTGCCTTACCACATGCCCTGGTTTGTTGTAACGTTTGTAATCTTCTCTCCATTTCAACTTCATTGATTGTTTCAAGACTATTTGACGTTTTGAAACTGGGGTAGCCGAGGCTGTACGAGGATTCCTGTAGCGTTCGCAGATCTGTCTTTCCATTTCTACGGATTCATAGTTGGGTAAAATTCATTGCTGAGCTATTTTTTGTTTTTGTTTTTGTATACGTGTGCTCTGAAGTTGGTGTAAGCCTATCATGCCGATATAAATGTGTCTCTGTGTTGCAATAAGTGTGTGTAATGTAGATTCGCCAAGATGTTGTTGCTTCTTGTTGTATCAATGTTTCTTTTGCAAAATGATTTATACGTTTTCTTGATAATATTTGTCTTCTTTTTAAAATCTATGGTTTAACAAATGGTTTGAAAGCGTCTTCAGAAGCTCTTCATACTAAATGATTTTTACTGTCTATGGTGGTGCCATAGGCGTTGCGAGTCCGACTTGTAATTCCAACGTACCGCGATCGAAACCCACTGCAGGCTGTGTGGATTTGTATTATGGTATGGGGCGTCGCAGGTCGACCTAGCCTAAATAGGTACCATGATGGCTGTCCTGGCGAAATTAGACGGCCGGCGTAATGCTGACAACATTACCCACCTAGTGCAGATGGTCTGTAAAAAAATGGGCGCTCTTCCCATGTGTCTGATGCGCCCAAACGCGTCAAAATGGATCTTTATTTTTACTTTTACTGTCTAGGGTGGTTCTTCTCCGTGTGTTATTCGTAAGCTCCTATTTCGAGTCTCGTATAGATTTCACAAGCTCGTTATCACTGGTTCTGGCTCTCCAGTATGTTACATCCAGGTTTTGTTTTCATTACAGCGAGTTTGTATACATCTTTTGATTGGACTGCATTTTATTATTCTGATTTTGGCCTTCAGGTGCCTGATGTCTAGCGTGACACCTCCCATCTCTTCCTTTCTATAAAAAAGGTGGTAGATCCTTGATGTTGGTTGATTTTGTAGCATTAGGGATAATATTTCTTTGCGTGGATGAGAGAAAACATATGCTTGCAATAATTTTTGTTTTAATTTTAGTCTGATATGACTGAGCTTACATGAGAATGCGTCAGTATTCACACAAAATGTTGAAGGATAATAACCAAATCTGTCATTTCACACTGTGTCAGCTACTTTAGACGTAGAAGTACGTAGAGGAGGAGAAATCAACATTAATTATGCTAGGACACGGAAATGCAATCTGAAAATAGTTAGTACAGGACAGACCAGGCCCATAGTGTTTTAGCAGCTAGTCTATGATGAAAGCTCCGATAGGCTGACAGACAGAATATTGCTCTTTTGATCCGACAGCTTCTGCCACATGCTTTGTTCCAAATGTATTGGTGTCATCTTTGCTGCCTTTAAGTAAACAAGGCAGGCAGAGAGAGAGAGAGAGAGAGAGAGAGAGAGAGAGAGAGAGAGAGAGAGAGAGAGAGAGAGAGAGAGAGAGAGAGAAGGATCATCCTGCATCGGCAACATCTGACCTCTTCAATAATTTCATGTTTTTCCTATCTGTAGTTGATGAATATCACCCCTAGCCTTAAAAGGCTGTTATTTCCCAAACCTCTCTATTACACAATATAAAGCTTTCGTCTGGAAAGACAAAAAGGTCAATGAACGTTTTAGACCGCAATTCTTTGCCACGTTCTTTACTTTCACTACTGATATTTGAAGCGGACAGGAGGCTGTTGTAATGTTTTTAGTGGTCGTCTAAGCAGCAAAGTCATCGAGGAGCATTGGTTCTATGGAGCTCTCATTCAGGTAGGCTGCTGGAAACTTGCGAGAGACAAAATTTAATAATCTAGGTTATGTAAACCACGAAGAGCCTCTGTTACGCTGCTCTGAGAGACTCCATATCCGTTTCAGCTAAAGATGCGATCTATTTCAGTTGTGTCAGATCGCTGGTACTTCAAGTCTCTTACTCAAGATACGCAAGTTTAAGCTCAGGCCATCACTCAGTGTCACAGTATGGAAGTACTGAAAACGACTAAAGAGTAATATATTCTTAAATGAGAAGGATGAATCTAATTGGTTCTAACATAATTTCTTTGTTTATTTTTGAAAATTAAGCAATCACTACGATTTCAATCTGCTATATTGCATTGATTGGCTAATAAACAGCATCCTGTCTCGGAAGCTGAAATATTTTGGTCATATCAAGCGCCACGACAGATTGGAAAAAAATTATAGCAGAAGGCATGGTACCAGGAAGGAGGAGTAGGGGCCGACCGACACGAAGATGGGCACGGGATATAAGTGACTCCTTGAGTATAAAAAATACATGAGCCGGGAGAGTTGGCGAGAGACCAAGTTTCTTTCAGGCAGATCGTGATGAGAGCGACGTTCTGCAAAGGACCTGCTACATGATGATGACATTGCATTGAGAAAAGTACAGTTTATCAAAATCCTCTCTCGTTCTTTCCGGACAGATTCTCAGGTGCTCCAATCTCTTTCTTATACGCTCCATAAGTGTAAACCGACTGATGACGCCTGTTCTATGTTGGTTAAACAAAAACTTTGTCCTCTTAATGAAATGTTCTTTTCTTGCTGCTCTAAGCTGCACCCCCTATCCCCACCAGCCTAAACAGGGATATGCAATCATGCTATTTGACGTCTTTGTCTTCACGGTAAGCGCTGCGCATGACATTGATATTATCACTTCTGCCCAGTACTGGACCAGCCATAACTACCGCAGCGTCTGCAAGATAATCTGCACGCTCGTTATCTTGAACATCCGCATCATCTGGCGCAGCGATGAAGGCTAGGGCAGCTTCTTCTTCTTCTTCTTGTGTTCGCTTTCTGATTTACACTGACAGACAGGTTCTTGTGATAAACTTGACTGTTTTAATGAGTTCATTTTTAGTCCCATACAACTTTGTGTACAGTGGTGACTCACTGGGCCAGTATTCCTTTCTTAATGGGCTGAACAAGGGACAGTCTTGCAGGACTTGGGTGTGACTGCATACTATTCAGCTAAAACTTCTCCATCTGGATCATAGTTTTAGTGTCTCTTCTATAGGACAATGTCTGCATTGCAGTTATTTTCTGCATCTTCAGGATTGGTGCAGTTTTCATGGATCCTGTGATGAGTCTAAGAGCTTGATTTTGCACTCTGTCTAACGATTGTAGGTGGGAATTAGCAGCTGTTGACCATGCTGTTGCACCAAACTCCAAGTGGGGTCTTATCGCTCCATTATAAACTTTCTTTAGGGTTTTTCCATTTGCTCCCCATCCTGTACCTGCCAATTTTCTAAGTAGGCCTAGTCGTCTCCTGGCCTTCCCTTCTACATTTTCTATATGTTTGCTCCATGTGAGCCTTTTATCAAATGTTACTCCAAGATAAGTGGGGAAGCTTTCTTCCTTTAGCAAGGATGTTTCCTAGGTGATATTATTAGCAGCTTTGTCCCTGGTGAAAGAGAGAAAAAAGCGTTGTGGATGTTTTGTCTGTGTTGATGGCAACATGCCATTTTTCTGCCCATGTCATCAAGAGATCTGCTGCTCGCTGCATTCTTATATTTGCCACTGTGGTGTGTTCATCGGTACACCAGAGTGCCAGATCATCTGCATACAGGGCAGC